TAATAATAATAATAACACTCGGTACACAGATGATAAACATAACGCATTCTTAGACAAAAACTCGGAATACAGAGGTTAAAACTTCAGCACCCTGGCGAATGCACTCGGGTACACAGAAGATAAGGATAATGAACTCTTTTTTGTTCGTTTTTGTAAAGTGTTTTACGGCGCTCGCAACTGCATAAGGTCATATGAGCGCGCGGGACACCCCTAATATTTTCAGTTGGTAGGAAATTTTGAATTTTGCGCGGGTGGCGGCCGAAGCCTACTCTTATCGATTTTAGACCACCAAGGGATATTTAACGTGCGCAACTTACACACGGGCCCTCCAAGATTTTTCGCCCTTGTCCGAGAAGGCTAGGTGTAGATCTTTCCTACCAGAAGATCAGGGGTTTGGCAGAAAGACAGCAGTAAGGGGGGCCAAGGAGTAGCAGTAGAAAGGCTGCAGAAAGAGTCAGGAGCCCAGAGGAGGGGGCAAAGGAGGTGAGGAGGTGGGAGCAGAAAGTGGAAATGAAAACAGACCACAGAACATTACTAGAGAGCAGGAAAGGAGGGGAAAGGAGACTATTTTAGAGAAGAAAAAATTTTCGGTCGCTTCCCGGATTCGAACCCGGGACCTTTGAATGAGAGGCCAACACTTTAACCTCTAGGCCACGAGAGCCCCCTAATGAACTCTGAGACATACACTCGCAGCATAGAAAAAAAAGATGTAACATGCATGCTAAGCAGTATGCTTCGACTCTCTCAACCACATTGCGGGATACTGAAGGGGTTTGGTGGAATTTGAAAATGTGTGTGTTTGGGGAGGGGTGGGGGTTGGGTGATGGGGACGGGGGAGGGGGCGTTAAAGTGCATCAAGTCATCGAACCGGTATAAGAAATTTCCCAAACAAAATGTCCTACATATTCTATTCGACATCTAATTATTATTGCACGCTATAGAACGAGCTTAAAAAAGAGCACAATCAACAGATCGAGCACCCTCTCTTCCAGCCCCACAACCATTTTTTCTCCTTTAAAACAAGCCATAGCTAAAGGAATGTGGGTTGTTGTTGTTTTTTGTTTTGTTTTTTGGAGGTGGAGGTGGGGGGGTTGGTTAGTGTTTTACGGCTTTCACAGCTGCATAAGGCCATAAAGTCGTATGAGCTCGAGGGACACATTAAATGTTTTTAGTTTGGTAGGAAGTTAATGTCGTTCTGTATAACAGAAACAAGTGATAACATGCATAACATGTATAAAAAAATGTGAATATAGTTTTATATTTCTCATAAATTTGACGGGTTAATAGCAAATTGTCCGTTTCATGTTATGCTTTGTCACACGTAAGTCTGAATTTTTATTAGAAATACTTCTAAAGCTTTAGAAATAAAGCCGAACCACGCGTTGGCCGGCAGGTTGCTGGGTATTTCAACTAAATTATTGGTTGTATTTTTTCTTACTTTTTATCATTATTAATCTCGCATTTGTGAGGCAATGTCTTGATATCAGGCGCTCGTCAAAATGATCAGATCGAAGAAACCGACATTTCAGGTGGGTGAACAATTTTTTAAAATCTGTTTTATTTATCTATTTATAATAATATTATGTTGTAGTTGTTTGTTTTAGTATTAGGGGTATTTTTTATATGTTGGTTTGGTTATTTGTTTCGCGTTGTTGTGGTTTTGGTTTGTTTTTGTTGTTTGTTTGTTTTTGGGGTTGTTTTGTTGTTGGTTTTTTGTTGTTGGTTTTTTGT